TGGTAACAACGAAGAAATTGGAAGTATGATAGCTGAAGCAATGAGCAGAGTTGGCAGGAAGGGTGTGGTGACACTTGAGGAGGGTAAAAGTGCAGAGAACGCTCTCTACGTTGTAGAAGGAATGCAGTTTGACCGTGGTTACATCTCCCCTTACTTTGTGACAGACAGTGAGAAAATGTCAGTTGAGTTCGACAATTGCAAGGTAACTGAGTTCATAACTCTGAGTTCGCTCACTCCATTGAAGTGTTTCACCAGTTGAATATTCTAATGCATTGTTTGTTTTTGGCTGCAGTTGCTTCTTGTTGACAAGAAAATTACCAATGCAAGGGATCTTGTTGGTGTTCTGGAAGATGCGATTAGAGGAGGATACCCAATTTTAATTATTGCTGAAGACATTGAGCAAGAGGCTTTAGCGACCCTTGTTGTTAACAAGCTTAGAGGTACACTGAAGATTGCAGCACTCAGAGCTCCAGGATTTGGAGAGCGCAAGAGCCAATACCTTGACGATATTGCCATTCTCACTGGAGGTAAGTTCTGTGTGCACCACTGAGCTCTTTTGTAATTAGGCATAATCGTTCTGGCCCTAATCTTGTCCTTTTTTCTCTATCTGCACTTGCAGCTACTGTGATTCGTGAGGAAGTTGGTCTATCACTCGACAAAGCTGGAAAAGAGGTTCTTGGACATGCCGCAAAGGTTGTCCTCACCAAGGAGACTTCGACCATTGTGGGTGATGGGAGCACACAGGACGCAGTGCAAAAGCGTGTTTCACAGATTAAGAATCTTATTGAGGTATTAAATTCAACTTTTAGTAGGATCTCTATTGCCTTTAGTCATTAGCATACTCACAGTAGCATGGTATTTGGTTTGTGCAGCAAGCAGAGCAAGATTATGAGAAGGAAAAACTGAATGAGAGAATTGCAAAGCTCTCTGGTGGAGTTGCTGTGATTCAGGTTTTAAGCAAACCCCACTTGGTGTTCTTTAAATATAACAAAAGAATATGCTCGAGGGATATCAATTAAAGATCTTATCTATTGTTTCAAGGTCGGAGCACAAACGGAGACAGAGCTCAAAGAGAAGAAACTGAGAGTTGAAGATGCTCTTAACGCTACCAAGGTGATTGTTTTTTTTTTTTTTTTATTCTGAAGTTTTAAAGGCGTGCTATTTGTGTTCTCGTGAACTATACTGATCAGGATTTCTATTTCTCAGGCTGCTGTTGAGGAAGGTATTGTCGTTGGTGGTGGTTGTACTCTGCTTCGCCTTGCTTCCAAGGTTGATGCCATTAAAGCCGCTCTTGAAAATGATGAAGAGAAGGTAAATTCATCAAGCCTTCAGTTTCTTAATTTCTTAATCTTTTCAGGTCTTCTTCTCACTTCTCTGTTTCCCTTTACTTCAGGTTGGTGCGGATATAGTGAAAAGAGCATTGAGTTACCCTCTGAAACTGATTGCAAAGAATGCTGGAGTCAATGGAAGTGTAGTTAGCGAGAAGGTATTTTAACAGAAAACCTCCATACACTATTCAGATGCTTGAAGAGCTGACTTTTATTTATTTTCAGGTGCTTTCTAACGAGAACGTGAAATACGGTTACAATGCTGCAACCGGCAAGTACGAGGATTTAATGGCTGCAGGAATCATTGATCCAACAAAGGTCAGTTGGTTGCATACATATACGTAAACTGTCTTCTCTAGCTAATTAGTCCATGAGCCTGAGTGTTTTTTTTTTCTGGATGTAGGTTGTGAGATGTTGCTTGGAACACGCAGCTTCGGTAGCAAAGACATTTTTGATGTCAGACTGTGTCGTTGTTGAGATCAAGGAACCTGAACCAGTTCCCGCAGGCAACCCAATGGACAACTCAGGTTTGTTCAGACATCCAGATACTTTCCTGTGAAGATCCACTTAATTCATGTCTCATCACTGATTATGTTTACTACTATTGTTTCAGGATATGGATACTGAGGAGATGAGGGATAAAGTAACTCTGCCGGAATTTGATTCCTTTTATCTTGCAATAGATGAGAGCTAAGTGTAATGACTTTGAACCAAGAGAATTTGATGTGTGTACTGAAATTTTGAATCAATATTATGAATAAAATCATGATTTTCTTATCCTGTGATCATGTTGTCATCTACAACTAATGCATCCACATTACCAGACAGACTAATACATACCGTTGTGCTACATGTCCAGTCATAAAAGGAGACTGAAGAATCTTAGTTGAAAGATGATAACTTTTGTGACATTTCATATGAAAAAATACAACATGGTTGAAAATGGTAAGAGAGATTCACAGGTAAAAAGAACACCTTTACGATTGAATACAATTCCTCACAAGTATATATAGCCAAGAAGAGAAGAGAAGCTATAAACAGAACACATCAAAAGACATAAACTTAAGTCTTTAGGGTGGTGAACTATTTCTTGTTAAAGCCAAACAAGGATTTGATGGCGTTAATAGCACTCTCGTTGATGAAAGATTCATCAAACTGCTTCATGAGTGGATCGAAATTCTCTGACTTCCTGAGGTTTTCCAGATCTGGATCGCTTCGGATTCTCTGCAAACAAAACAATCCCTCAGCTTCAACAAACAACACCATCTCTATTGGTCACCATTGAAACATGAGAACTCTATTAAGATTACCTTGAAATCTTCATATCCTGACTTCAATGCTTCTTCCAGAGCAGAGAGGCCAGCTTGAATCTATCAAAGGAACTCTCATGAACTCGGCAAGTCAAAATGCTATATCTGAAAAGATTAAAAGCTTTTATTTACCTGATTAAGCTTTGAGTAGCAACAAGCAACATTGTAACTTGCAACTGATGCTTCATCTGGTGTTGGTTTAGAGCCTAACACAGACTCAAACCTCTCCAGTGCTTCCTCATATTTACCATTCCTACATTGATTAGAGACACAAGTCAATACTCTACAAAACTTTAGGCCAACTCACAAGAGAGCACTTGAAGATTTACTTGGAAAACTGAAGCCCTTCACGAAGATCCTTCTCCCGTTGAGCTTTCAGTTCTTTCTTCCTCAAATAGTTTTGCATCTACCCACACAGTTCACAAGCCAAACAATACATTACTTTTGGTGTAACATAAATGCAGAAGGTTTCAAGAGGAAACTAACCTGAATTTCCCTCAATCTACTGCTAATGAAACCGGCATTTCTCTCAGCTCTTATTATCTCTTTCTCTGATAGCTCACCAGAATCATCCACCTTACCTACAAGTTAAGAAGACACAACACTATTAGTAAAGAGAATAGATGACACAACAAAGCCAGAGAGCTGAAAACTTGGGAAAAGGAAAACTAACCATATCGCTTCTCCATTTGCATAAGCAACGGACCTATCCTCTGACGGATTGTGTACATTGTCCTACCGTACTCTGCTGCAGGCCAAATCTCTGTCCCAAACACTGCACTGCACACTCAAATATTCAAAGTCCTATTGTTACATACTAATGCACCGATAGATACAAGGCAAGTTTGAAGGTCTTATAATTGAGATTCCAGTCAAGTTTTCACAATCTCTCTAAAAGATAAGAAAGAGAGCAAACCTTGTGGCAATAACTCTGTCGCCGACTGTGAATTTTCCGGTTCTATCAGCAAATCCACCAGGCAAGATAGCATCAATGTAAGTCCCACCATCTCTTCCTTTCCTGAACTTCAAACCATAAGGCTGCTCCACTTCTATCTCATATGTTTCATACTTCTCTTCTTCTTCTTCTTCATTCCCTTCTCCTCCTGCTTCGGGTTTGGCTGTGGGCTCTGTCTCCGAGGCCTTCAAAGCGAAGTTCCGGCGTTTTGCCACATGGGTATTGCACGAGTTGCTCGAAAGGATGAGACTTTTGGCGGAAATGAAACCGGATTGAGTGATCAAGGCAGGGTTTTGCTTGGTCTGCTGGGTGGTTCTTGGCAGTGAATAGAGAGATGGATAACTGGTCGGAGCTAAAGACATGTTTGATTCTTATCTTTAGGTTCGAGCTCAGACACAAGCCAGGGAGACACAGGATTAGTTGGATTTTGCCATATGGAGGAGGAGAGACCTTGTGTGTGGTTTGGATTACAAGTTTGCATGATTTAGTGGCTATGGTGTGTTTTGCCACGTGTCATCTTTTAATGGTACCAATGAGCTTGATCCTTTTTTTTTCTTCCCCATACATAAAATTCGCATCTCCCCTCACTTGGATTCTTTTATTACATACCAGTCGTGTTTTCACTCTAAAAGAATGACCAATTCTGCATGAAGACAAACGCAACACTACATCAAAGTGGTATGTTCAGCGATAGTGTAATCAAGAAACTATCTATCTTTCTAGAGAAACAGAGGAGAGAAGACATTTATAGTCTCATGACCCTTATGTTGGCTGCAAACAACTACAGAGGATAGATACTGAGATGATCCCACAAGAATGTATTCACCTATTGCTCTTCACTTTTCAGGCAGTTTCTCGGTTTGGACAAAAACAGATTCTAACTCAAAAACATATACTTGTGGACTGAAGATTAGTTCACATGATATTTTTGGTTCAAGCTTGACAGAACATAAGTAGAAAACTTAGATATGGGAAGTGCTAACCCACCATCCGCAAAAATTACATGCACACAAGCTTCTGAAGTTGCATGACAGATTAAAATTTCATGAAGACATTTGATCCACGTAGTGAGGTATTAGTTCATATGAAACTAAATAGCACACACCAATTAAAAACCAAGACAATCCAGTCAAGAACATGTCTGAAACAGAATAATCTGCAGTACCTTGGTTATGATATGATCCATCAGAAATAAAAAAATGCTTCAACATCTGAGATGCAAACCTGTTCGCCACAGAGATTTCCCTAAAACAAAAGAGAACGAAATAAACCAAAAGCCAGAATCTTCTGAACATGTTTGTTTTATCAAAAATAGCCAGTGTCTGAAACTAATTTGCATAAAAACAAGAAAGGAAGGTTTAAGTATACAAGACACCGTAGAAACGTGAAATGTTCAAAAGTTACAATAAACTAAGCAAGTTTGCATATGTCTTCATACTCAATCGATTTTATGACTCTTCCTTCATAAACACCTTTCTCAATCTGAACTTTAGCACAAAACTTCTCAGTATCCACATTCAACAACTTGGCATTGGAACCACGATACGCCCCATTCACAATCTTCACCAACCCTCCAATCTGCGGAAGCACAGTCTCAAGCTCCTCCTGATCAACTCGTAACACATGCTTAGAATCAAGCATTTCAATCTCCCCAACATAACTATCAATCACTTCCCTCACAACACCCTTCTGCTTATAATACCCTTTCTCAGCCAAAGCCTTACTCATCACCTTCACAATAATCCCTTGACACAACCAGTAAGCTTTACGATTCATTCTCTCCTTCTTCTTCTCTTCCTCCTTCATCAACTCATCCAAAGCCGATCTCCTCTTCTCATCTCCTCCGCTTCTCTTCCTCTTCTCCTCTCTCTCATCCTCTTCATCCACAAACACACGCTTCGAGCTCTCACCCGTAGTAACAACAACCTGCTTAACCCCTCCACCAAGTGAAAACCCAACCTTAACACCACCACTCTTCAACATCAAGTCTTCATCTTTCTTCTTCTTCTCAACATCATCATCATCAGGATTAAACTTCTCCTCAGCTCTTTGAATCTGTTTCTTAATCTCCCTCTCCTGCTTCTCCTCCTCAGCTAAATCACTCTTAACCCTCTTATTCTTCAACCTCTCCTTAAACAAAGTCTCCGAATCTCTATCAATATAAGTAATAAACCAACCTTTAGGAGTCTCCTCCACCTTACACTTCCCCGTCTTCCCCAAATACTTTATAAACTCCGTCAACGTCGCCCACTCCGTCGAATTCATATGCACATGATGCCTATCGTTGATATACTCATTGTAAACCACCGTGGCGGCGATTCGGGAGTACCGGTGGCTCCGCCGCATGAGATCGAGGAAAGTCGTCTCGAACTCCTCGGAGTAACCTTCGACGACGCGGTGTGGGTTCTGACCGAAGACCTGCATCTGACGCTGGTGGGATTCGCTCATACAGTGGCACTTGAAGCCGTTCTCGTCGCGGCACTGTTTCTGGCACATCTGGCAGTACCATCGGAGCTTCTGGAGACCCTTGGCTTTCATCCGATTCGCCATCGCCTTCGGGGTTAGGAAATCGTTCTTGCCCATTGTTCAATCTGATCGTCGAAATTAGGGTTTGTTTTGGGCGGAAGGGTTGGGATTTAGGGTTTGCGTTAACGATTGATTCAGGTGGAGAAAAGATGGAGAGAGTAGAGAACTGAGTGGTCGATCTTACTTCTTGAGGATTGAAGATTGGCTAAGAACCGAGTTTTCTTTCTTCTCTAATCTTGAGGATTGAAGATGGACAAAATAATTTTTTTTTTTTTTTTTTTGTTGCTTGAATGGACAAAATCCTCTATATACTAAACCACAAGTCACTTTACTAATCAAAATTTAACATGTGGAAAATACTATAAAAAAAAGAAATTGAAGACAAACTTTTTTTTCAAACAATTTCTTTGCTTCCTAATTTTCAGCACATATGTCCTAAATTTTCTCATTATATTTCATCCACGTTCAAAACCAAAACCAGTTGTCCACGGTTTTTAAATAGTTTTGTTCTTCTATATAATTTTGATATACTGAATAAGTTTATATTTTTCCTCTCTCAATCTTCTCCATCAAAGCAACAGATCTAAAAATCTCTTTTAAATTTTCAGTTTGCTTCGAGAAGTGTATTTCCATTTTTTTTTTTTTTATGTATCAATGTAAAATTTTATCTATTCATCATCTGATTATTCAGTCTGCAAGATTCCAGATCGATATAGTGGAGTTATGGGAAGAGATTAACAGTGGTAAGTTGGTTTTTTAAGAGATTCAGTTTTAGATCACTGCAATATATAACTTAGAAACTTCTTCTATCAATTGGTTTACAGCCATTGTNTGTAAAATTTAATCTTATAAATTTAATAGACTATGAAAATAAGTAATGTGGGTTAATTTTACATGTGTGCTTTTTATAAAAGATGTTAGGTAAATTAAAATAAAATATCAATGCAGCAGTTATTTTACTAAAAAAAGAAAAAAAATATTAGATTCATCGTATTTAAATTTACATTAATTAAATTAAATATATTTTATTAGAAAATTCTAGAACAAAATTAATGGATCATATAAAGTATTTTAACTATATTTTACACTCCATATTTTGGTATTTTAAAAAGTTTGCAAGCATGTATCCATTTCATAATGATATATGTTTTATTCCTTCAACTGATTTGTTTCAGTGCAGAAATCTCTTATATTATGTGCCACTCACTATTCATATAATATATTAAACAATCATTTATTCTGATTAAAATTATGACATGATCAAACAATTTAAGAAACTGTAAATTAACCTGTGCGCAGCACAGGGGTTATACTAGTATTTTCTAAATTTTAGGAGATTAGGCTAGATTTTTTTTTCATCTGATAAATTTCATTCATTCGAAGTAGAGATTACTGTACAATGTTTGATACCTAAACTGGCAGAAAAACAATATATCCCCAGAAACAAGTGCTTATAAAATAGGCCACTGAAACCCACATCGGAGTCGCTTATAAAAATTGAGATAAATTCACATCTAAAATAACAAAATTCAAAATCTCATAGCAGAACTAGCATCTTCAGCTTACAACATCTCTTACATCTGTAGAAGCCGGAAAACTGGATCGACATAAACGAAATAAGAAAGACAGAGTTAAGGAAATAAACGATTATATAAGACATGGAGGCGAGATAAATCTCTTTCCTTAACTTTTAATATTCGTTTTGTAATGAGACGAAACTGTACGAATATTGAATCCCAGGATACAACAATGGTAGACGAATCATGCTTCACTCGTGAAACGACGTAACGAACTAAAACTCTACGAACACTCTCTTTAAAAACTTACGATGAGAGATTGCCGGATTTTTTCTGTGTAAAAAACCATAGAATGAAGAAAGAGAAGAGACGATATTTAAAGAGAAGACGAGGAGCAACTGCCCATAACGTGTGCTCATTAGTGGGGATTTGGCAAAGATCTCGGGAAGTTTAAATTACGAAAACTTATCCCCCCAAGACTCGCTCTCTCTCGTTTAATAAAATATCTGGCGAGAAATAAACAGCATTAAATAAAATTGTATGCTGTTTTTTGAAGTTTAAATGGCAAAACGTTGAGCTTAATTTGGTCCAAAAACATAAATTCTTGCGAGAAATAAACAGCGTTAAATAACACCCAAGCCCACACCGAGCCGAGCCGGCCGGACGGCGGTGGCAGCGCGCATGGGGAGCCATCTCTCTCCCTGAGCTGTTTAACCTCTCATAACAAGAGAACATATATATATAGCTCATCTCCTCTCTAACTTCCTGATGTGGGATGTTTGATATATTCTTTGTTTGCACACTAAGGCCACGTAATGGGCCATTTCTTTTCACAGATTCATTTTAAGCCCATTGGTTAATTAGATGATCCAACAACACCCACACGCTTTTGAACAAGATTTAATATTGTCCCCCGCAACCCACCAAACAATAACATGAACTTCTGCCAACAATAAGAGCACTTCTCTCTAAAACCAAAGAACCCAGACTTTATAACCCAGCAAGATAGAACCATTCTAGAGTCACACACTCTTTCGGATATAGCGGCGACGCACTTCATGCGACAAGACAATACCTCATTAAAAGTCCTACAAAGAACACTCCAATTTCA